ACTTTGTTTATTATTATTTGTCATTTTTATTATTATTATTATTATTGTTTACTGTTTAGTTTTGTTTTGTGTCTTGCCTTTTGAATATTTTTGGTATACAGCCACACCCACATTGTCTGTATTCACATGCAAGTAGAATCCATTGCTAGACGACATTTTGTTGTGGCTTCAGGTGTGTCTGTGTTGTGTGTGTGTGTGTGTCTGTGTTGTGTGTGTGTGTGTGTGTGTGCGGCGCGTGTGTATTCTTGTGGCAAAGGCAGTCTGGCGGGATTGGTGGTGTTCAGGTAATACATTCTGTATTTGCATAACAATTTTGGTTGTATGTCGTTTTATGTCTGTTTACATTTCTGTTTTATGCCCATATGCGAAAATAAGAGCGGCAAAAAATAAATAAAATCATACAAAACACAAATATGACTATTAAGGAGTCCAGCTAGTGTGTCCGACTTGCAGATACCCTTATCAAATAAATACCCTTGCTGCTAAAGCAAACTCAATTAAAACTTTAATCAGCTGGCTTCTAAATAAGTGTTAATCATATTAAATAAATAAGTAATATATTTACATGTTTAAATCTTTATATACTCACCAGTTATTCCCAAACTATTTCAATGATACACCTGCTATATTTTTCTTGTACATTTTTATTTAAAAGTAGTAAATTTCCCCGCTCAATTTATTATTTATTAAGTGATTGGCATTTAAGGAGCAGATCTCTTCTGTCAATTAGCTGAATTTGTCCATTTATATTTTTGCAAATAATACTAAGATCGATTCATGTATTTCGGCGTTTTGTTCTGATAACCTAAAGGGTATACAATTGGCTTAGTCGACCTATTCGTCTATTGGAACTTGACCTAGACGAAAATGGTGGCGTTATCAGCGCCGCACGTGCGACTCGCCGGCTGCTGTGGTGTGAATCGTAAAGTCGGGCAAGTCTTTGGAACTGGGACGACCACATTGGAAATACAACAACAAAAAAACAAATACAAATATCAAATTAAAACGAGACTGCTCGACTAGGCGATACCTTGAAACTGAAAGCCATATATCGAGAGTCTTTGACTGGCGACTTGTTGTCAGTAGTTTGTGTAAAATGCCCTCATAATAAAATTTCTACAGTAGACAAACAATATATCTGTCTATTGAAAGGCTCAATATTTACAATTGTGCTCCTATCATAAATCGAATTGTAGCGATATACGCGAAATGAGGGCATTTATCGATAACAAGAATTAAAGTTCAACCTAAACTTCTATTTCAAATCTTAGAAACACAACTGAAATCAGCTGCAGACAAAGTCGTCTTTTAATGCTGATCAATGCTATATAAAACCTTATGGAATCGCCCATTTTGCCAACAGCCTTTTGCTAAAACCTTGTTATACCTTTCCGTACTCGTTTTGAATGGGCGCAGTGTATATAAAAAGCCAAGCCCCACAAACACACAACACACAACACACAACATGCCGCACATCCCCGACGTGTATTAATAGAAATAATCAAAAAAAAAGAGGGAAAATAAAAATTCAATGCGAAATCAATATTTGACATGGCGTTTACTTTAACTGCCCCGGCACCAGTCGCTTGTTTGTTATTATTTATTGCGTTGAAAAGTTTCATTATCAACATTTTGTACACTTTTTCTATTTCTATTTTTTTTTTACAATTTACATAAGGCGACGCCTGTTGTTGCCGCTGCAACTTTGTTGGTGGTTTGGGAGTAGGAGCTGGCAGTTTGGGAGCTTCAACTCCAAACTGGAGCTGCTGTTGTCTCCGTTGAAATATGTAATGGCCTCAAACCGACAATGGCAAACAGCAGCAGCAACAGCAACAGCAACAACAATGACAGCAAATGGCAGTGTAAAAGTTTTTGTTGATAGCAGCCAACTGGAAGAGAGTCGAACAGTGGCACGAGAGATATGCGCATTGCCCCAATGTGCCCCAAATGGGTTCCGCGTATCCTGTGTGTGTGCTTTGAAAGTTGCAGCCTCTAATGGCCTTGGCATTGCCCTAAGATGTTTATGATTTATCAGCTGCTACGCAAAACTCACAAAAGTTTCCCAATTCGAAGCTGACTTAGCTCAAAGTACACTGAGCAAAATTGCTTTTCTTTTTTAAAGTAATGCTGCACAGATTTTGGGCAACAGTTGCAGCAATTGGAAAAGTAAGCTACTCAGAAATACTCAAATATTTAGGAACTGTATTTTATTATTATACATTAAATTAATTTTAAATATTAGTAAAAATATAGCTTTGTTAAAAAAGAGTTCATTATTAATTATTAATAAGCAATTAGTATATATAAATTATAAGTTAAATTATAAGTTAAATTATAAGTTAAATGAATTTTCAATATTTGTGAAAATTAATCCAAGTTAAAAAGGAAATTATTATTAATTATTAACAAATAATTGGAATTAATATATGAGTAATTGTAAAAACATTTCTTGAATCGAATTTGCCTTTTTCTCAAGAGCCAGTTACAGAAACCGATGTTTATTGAACATTCTATTCGAATACCCAAAAATATCTGTAACCAACCTGACCCGAAATGCGATTCGGTTTCACGCCCTAAAATTATGCCCAAAAAACACAAGTGAATTTAATTATTACACATACGCAATGTGGGCGCAGTAAACACAATTTTATATTTATGCCTCTGTTTCACAAAACTTAAATACTTACAAATAAGAAATATAATAATATTGAGCATACGCAACGTCTGCCCAAAAAAAAAGAAAACAAAACAACTAGAAACAGAAATGTATATTTCAATGAGAAAATGAATGCAAACGCATTCAGCTGATGAATTGAATACCATGAATAATATAAATACATTTATTACGCATACGCAGCGTACTCGCATTGCTAAATTCAATTTTATTTAGTAAGTTAAGTAGCTGCGAGTTATTCTGTTTATTTTGGGATTACTTCATTTAAGCAGTTTGCCCCAAGGTGCGGCATCACAAAACACTGCAGTGGCAAACACACACACACACACACACACACACACTCACACACTCAAACCAAATGCCATGAAAACATTTTAAAATTCAAATCAACGCGATTTTTGTTGTTTCCTCATCTTTTTTGTTTTTTGTTTTTTTTTTTGCACAGTTTTCAGAGCGGCGTAGTTTTTTTTTGTTTTGGTTTTGGTTTTGGTTTTTTGTTTTCATTATATTTGTATTTTTAGTTGTTGTTTGTGGTTTTTGGGATTTATTTTTTTTTTGGTTGTCTTCTTTTATTTTTGTAATTTCTGGTCACGTATTTGTTGTGTTTCGTTTCATTTTTGGAAGCAATATTGTGCCACGACAATAATACCAGTGCCAGGAGCCGGCAACATGACCGGGTATTTAAGGGGTGGCAACTGCAAGTGTTTCGAACTAAAGCTGAATCCCAATCTGAATCTGCAACCGAGCATGGAGCTGAGGATGAAGCTGCGGTTTTGCAGTTAGTCCGCAGTCAGGCTTCAGAGTTGTGAGTTTCTGTAATGTGAGCCAATTACTGCTGCAATTCTGTTGTTGTTTTGCATTTACGAGTGTTTGCAGGGCCATGAAATCGGAAGAGGGACGACAGAAAACAGTCTGTTTCCAAATATTCAAAATACCCTAGACAAACTGTAAGCGACTTATGAGTCTATGCGGATCAGAGTCGTATTTAGGATTGAAAAATGAATGGGCATTAAAGTGTTTCAAATAGGCGAAAAGGCTAAGAACTTGATCAGATCTCCTGCTAAGGGAAGCTACGGAAAAGGATGGATAGGATGCCTGAAAATGCTGAAATGACTGATTCAGATTCAGCTAATTTATACAGTTATCAATATCACTTAGAAAGTTGAAGTCAGCAACAGTTAACATAATTCTGCTTGGATTAGATGAAGAAAGAATTTCGTAAGAACTTTGTACATCTTTATTAAATTTGAAAATATGTAAACTAATATTGAGAATTCGATAATAAAATACATATTCATTTTTTAAAACTTTTATACTTTTACATTTCGAATTATTTCAGCAAATTATTAAATTTCCTTATCTGTTGTCTTTGATCTGAAATAAAGTTTTGAATTATTTGAGAAAATTCATTGAAATTGAAAGATGATGTTAGGCAAACCTTTAAAGTATCTTTTGTTATATCTTGTTGAGATGATTAAAAAATGATTAATATTATTAGAAACATAAATTACAAAATATACACAAGAATTTTTGTTTGTTTTCTTCCATTTTATTTGCGCTCAATAGAAAACTGAAATCGAGCCTTTTTAATGGTTCTGGTTTATGTTTTTAAGCCATTAAAATTTAGATTATTTCTAGCCTTTCTTAAATGAGTTTCAGCTCCGCACTGGAGTTCAAGATTATAGTGCGAGACTTGGACCATGTGGTGGTCTAGTTAATAATTTTGATAAGCCTGTGCCCTGTGACATTTATCAGTTGTCCATGGATTTATAGCTTTTTCGTTTGGCACTTAAAAATTCGATAAATATAGAATGATTAATATAAACATAAATAATAAATGATTAACTAAGCTGATGCTCAGCTGAGAAAAACCAAGAATTTGGAATAACTTGGAATATTCATTGTGTTTCACATAAATGTTTAAATGATGAGCCCCCAAAATTCGCATGTCGAATAGAAAAATAAATCTTCTTCTTATCTGCTGTCTCTTCTTCTTATTTTTCTGTCGGTGTCTTTGCACAAACTACCAAATCAGCTGTTCATTCGCCACGCACACACACACACACAGTCAAGCACCTTTCTCCTTCTGCTTCTTGTCTTGCTTCTTTGATTTAGCTTTTACTTAGTGCAATCAAATTAGCATTGGCGAATGCCAGCACAAAACGTAAAGCGCAAATCGTTTGCACAAACAACAAACACGTTCAGCAGCAGAGCAGCTTTCGTTCTTGCTCTCTCGCTCGCACACTCATTAGGTTTGCTGCTGTTGCTATTGCTCTATGGCTCATTTTGCATTTTGCGCATGCAAGCTTGTGCTCAGCATTTTTTTTTTTGGCGTATTCAGTGCTGTGTGTGAGTTCGAGCTGTGGACAGCTTTTGATTACATTTTTGGCGATGAACTCACGCGACAGACTGTTCTGGACGGAATTCCTGCTACTCTATCGATCCTTGCCAGCGGTGTGGAAGGTCAAGAGTCCCGAGTACAGCAGTCGGGCGCTGAAGACAGCCGGCTACGAGCAGCTGGTGCTGAAGCTGCGCGAAGTGGAACCACATGCGGATCGGGCACTCGTCGTCAAGAAGATCAACTCGTTTCGAACGAACTTTCGACGGGATTTGCGCAAACGGGAGCAGTGCGACGAGGAGCGGGATCCGTTCGAGTCAACGTTGTGGTACTTTGAGCTGCTCGGCTTTCTCGAGGGACAGGAGGAGGGCTGCCACAAGGCTGCCAGCAGCAGTCCAGAGCAGCAAGTGCCGCCCGATGATTTGGTAATTCACCTTTTAAAGTTATATTTCCATCTGTTTCCATCTTTCATATCTTTCCGTCACCTCAGCAATTTAATCCGTTCCCAACCAGAAAGCGTCGCTTGGCTGTTAAGGATGAATTCCCTGAAACTCCTCCGACACTATTACACTCAAGTTCCTCCCACACACCCACTTCCCACAGGCAGCAGCAGCCGCAGCAGCAGCGCAAGCGTTTCGCCTCGCTCTCCGCATCGGAGGCACTTGCTCACACCTGGCGCACTCAATTTGATGAGATGCCCAAGCAACAGCAGCTGCTCGCTGGCAAACTCATCTCGGATGTGCTCTATTACGGCTGCATGGAGCAATTGAAGCCCTCGCATGTCACCCAACTGCAGCAGATAATGTTGCAAGGTTGCAATCTTAAGCCACAGATTGAGGATGCCAACACGCTGAACTCCAGGGCCAACTACGCTGAGAGCGATAATCTCGATGAGGATGGATAAGGCATAATAATATGTGTACATAAATTCCAAATCCAATGAACATAAACATAAATATAAACAATAAACAAAAACAATAAACAAAAAGAATAAACAAAAGCAATATTTTATTTTATTATAAAATAATAATTTTATTATTTAAAATACTTTAAGCCTGATTTCAGGTTTTCTGCAAGAAATTAAATTAATTTTTTGTATATTTTATTGAAAAAAGCAAATCAATTTAAAATCAAGTCAAGCAGCGAATTAAAAGTATTTTCTTGAATTGCCTATTTTTTTATTCAAAATTAACAAACTTCAATCAAGTTTGATAGTCATTTAAAAGAGCACATTTTGGATCCTAATTTGAGTTAGAAATTCTTAATTTAAAATTTAAATTTGGTATTTAAAATGCAGCTGATTTTAACTGCTTTAAGATTTTGCCATAAAAGAGTTTAATAATAGCTTAAAGATACATCTAGCTGTGAGAAAAAAGAGTTTTAGCTACAACATAATTTAATATTAGCTTAAAGATATATATCTAGATGCTTGTTGCATAACTTTTCCAACATCACGCTTAACATTACGCCGGAGTTGAAATTTATATTTGCGCTGTTTTTATTTGATTTTCCCCTCCTTTCTCTCTTTTCAGCTGTATCTGTATCTGTATCTGTGCATGTATCTGTATCTGTATCTGTATCTGTATCTGTATCTGTATCTGTATCTGTCTCTGTATCTGCATCGGTGTCTGGACATAAATCGTCCTTCCATAATGGCATGCACATTCGCAAAATGCGAATACGTGATCTTGGCATTATAATTAGTCTCCAGTTCTCGGGTTCCTTGGTTTTTAGTGCTTTTCTGTTTTGCTCGTTTCTCGCATCTCGCTTCTCGTTTCTCGTTTCTCGTTTTGGTTGACGGCATATAATTCTTAATGGCCATGGCACATTTCTCTGCCATTTCGTGCATTTAATGATTTTGAATTCTCTGCTTCTCCTCTCGTTTCTTTATTGTGTTTTGATTCTGTTATGCCCATTGCAAAACGGCCCAAAAGAGTATGCTGAGCTTATGCAAAAAGTATGTGACAAGCAGCAGGAAGCAACTTCGATCCACTCAAGTATATAGATATATATTTATGATTAACAGCTACAGATGACTTGAGCCTCCAATTTGGCTTGTAATTACTCGTTTAAATTCATTTTACTTCATCGATAACTGTTGATAAACGGTTATCGATATAAATCAATTTTCAATAGCTGCAGAAACGTTTATTTTAAAGATATATCTTTCTAATCGATAACTCTTACTGATCATCTGTGAGAATTTCATAAAGATGCTTTGAGAATCACGTGAGAAAATATATATTCTTTTATTTCTTGTTAATCAATATCGATAAATATCGATTTTCAATTGCTATAATAGCTATAATATTAAAGTCAGATCTTTCTCATTCACAAAATGCTGCACATCTGTAAAACTTTCATCATTTTCATATAACTAAATTTGCCAGCAGCAAGTGAAAAGTTCCTACAGGTGCAGGGTATCTGCTAGTCGAGCTAACTCCAAGGCAGCATTCTTACTTGCCTCTTTTTTGGTTGTTTTGGTTTCGTTTTTGGGGTTTTTGCTGTAGCGCAGGTTTTATTTTCGGGGCAATTTGATTTGAATGCTGAGCTATCTGTTTCTATTGTTCGGCATTCTCTTCCCTTATTATTATTGGTCTCATGAATATAATGGCTCTTTAATTATTTCTTATAATCTTAAAGCAATTATGCCAACCGAAAAGACAGCTGACAAAAAAATCAACAACAAAAACTTGATAGCTAAATATAATAAAAAAAAAAAAATCGTAAATTTTAACAATTATATCCTTTCATTGAGAACTGAAATCGTGTCTGAATATTTTGCTTATTCAGCAATAATAAACTCTTTAAATCTTTGATTACATAAGTGTAAATAGTTTATGGACTCCATAAAAGTCTCTTTCGAATAAATCATGTTGCTGCTAAATTACAGTTCTCTTGGCAATAATAATTAATTGCTGGACTTTAGTTAGGAGTGGCCTTAAATCAATTAGCTGTACACAGTGAAAAAACCAATGTAATATATTATTTGATCTTTTTAAAATTAAAAACTTAAAAACGAGAAGTAAGCAGACAACAAAAAATATTCAAAAAGATACAAAATAAAACCAACTTAAGCCAGAAATATATTATTTAATATGTTTTGTAGTTAAGCTCATATAATATACTTAAAATACTCTCAATTTAAGGCTTTAATGAGACGAAGTGAGAAGGGAAAAAAATAGAATAAACCAAGTTAAGCGAGAAATATATGCTTTTATACGTTTTGCACTTAAAATCTCGATTACGGCTTTTAATGTTCAATCACTGATAAATAATTGTTGAGTTGAATACTTTTAATTCACAAGCAGTTTATTGCTGAGTGCATTGCCATTAAAACTTTGCGCAAAACACAATGATGAACTTTATGAGCAGAATAAACTTCTGGCAAAAATACCTGCTATATATATATATATAAATACATAGATATATATATATATATATATATATATATGTATACATATATTGTAGATTTGGCTCCTTGTGGTGCTCGTCCCATTAGAGCAACAAATTAGTTGCAACTGCAACGCCTTCGCTCTCGTTTATCCGTTGTTGCACCATCCGTAGCGCTTTGTGTGTGGGGTTTGGCTTGGGCAGAGGGGTGGTGGTGAGGGGATTTAACTCGTAGCTCGTTGCTCGTTGCTCGTAGCATGTTATTTACGAGGCAGCAATCGCAGACGACTATCGTAATAGCTGGTAACAGCATTTGTGCATTTTGTTTTGCCATAAATCATATTGGAAATGCAAGTTCTGCAACAACAACAACAACAACAGCAACAACATCAGCAGCCGTCTTACTTCCCACTTACCACATTCCGTTCCCCAATGCCCCCCAGCCTGCCACCCTTTCCATGCACTTGAACAACATTGTTGAGCATCGTCTGCGACGCAATTTCTCGACTTACTTTTGCCTTAGTTGTTATTGTTGTGGAAGGCTTTTGGCTAATTGATTTACAACACTTTCCCAACCTTTCCCAATATCAGAGCTCTTAACGCTTTCCATTTAACTGTGCAATATATATATATATATATATAGATATATATAGTGTATATATCTGTAAGTAAATATGTGCTGCTTATTTGTTATCAAAAGGGGGACTTGCTCAATGCCTGATTGTGTGGCTTTTAATATAGTTGGCTGCTTATCAACACTGTTTGCTATCTATACACACATATATATATATATATATATATATATATAGATATGTGTGTGTGTGTGTCTAGAGTTGAGTGTTGGCTCCCTGGGGCAGCATCGGGTGGCGCGAATTGTTTGCGAAAATAATTTATGGCAAACTGTTGATTGTTGACATGGGGGCCCCTGAGCTCAAGTTAAAGCCTCTCAGCGTAGTATCCACACCAACACATACACACATACATAGACACACCCGCCACACCCTCCCTCTCTGCCTGCCACAGTGTGTAGAATTTATCATTAGTTTTTATACATTTGATGTTGCTTTCAGCTTCGCGAAGCGAAACGCGACGAGCAAAACAAAAGCAGCTCCCAAAAACAAACGACAGCTGCTTGGCGGCCCCATTGCGTCATTTTTTTCAACATATATATATATATATATTTATTTCTTTTTTTTTTTGCTGTGAATTGCCACTCCTCCAGTATAGAACGACCCCCTCCAATCGCCCCTCAACAAGTGCCAGACGATCGAAGCAACATCGAAGCACGTTGCTTCGTTTGTTCATAATGTTCACAATTCTCGTTGTCGTTTCCTAGAAAAACGCCACAAATTCTACGAACATGCATTGTACTCTATATGTCTATATATGTGTGTGTATATAGTAATGTAGTATTCTATATCTATATACTATGATTCTGATTTCTATGGTGCGCAATTACTTGTTCACGAGCTTAGTTTGTAGACTTCTACTCGTATTCTGATAAATGAAAAACTGTTGATTGTGTCGAAAGCCAATCTGAGTTGGGTTCTCTAAAAATAGTACACAATTTAGGTAAATATAAATTAATAGTTAAATATATAACAGTTAAAATACAAATTTAAATGAAAGCAAAATAAATAAATAAAATAAAATAAACTTAAATAATGGAGGGGTATTAAAATTTAATAAATTCAAATATAATAACTATTATATTAAAGAAACCTAGAAAAAAATGGCTCAACTTTTATAGGGGAAGCCCAGGAAAAAAACAGCGAAAAAACAAACCACAAATTATTAAGCGGTTGCAAAAAGGAAAGTAAAAACGTTAAGAAGGCAAAGATAATCTTTATAATATATTTATAATCGTACAGCATTATAAACTTGAGTTTAAAGTTAAAAACATATATATCAAAAATCAAAAATTAAATCAAGCTATTCCTGAAGTGTCAGTCTTTAAAGAAAAGACAGGATGTTTCACATTATAATGTTAAGATAAGAGAAATCTACCAGATCTACTAGAAATAGAAGATTGGGATCACAGTTAAAGAGCAGAAATTACTAAATTCAAACGTCTTCAAATAGAATGCATATTGTCAATAATCTAACTACCAAAATACACCAACTTTTACACTATAGTATCTCAGTATAGACAGCTCTAATCAATATGCAATATAAAATCACTGGCATTTCGAAAAATCATCCAAATTCAACTTGTCTCCAGAAAAATTAGACTAATGTTTTGCTATCAACAAAATTTAAACAGTGTATTTATAAATAGCTGAAATTCCCGAGGCGATTTAATAATATATTGTGGCCTTGATCTAAATACATATGTGTATATAATGTATGTGCATAAGCCCATTCAGTATGTCTTATCGTCCAGCATTTGTTTCTAGGTGTTATCAACGACCACACAATATAATAAGTAGAAAATTACTCATTTACTTTGATCTTGTTTACCACAATATACCCTGTATTCAAAACATATACAAAGGGGTATATCGTACAGGTATTCCAATTTGTAATTTACAGTTTATATTCTGTTGAACGGAGCAAGGAAAGAAGCGTTATTTTAATCATTCCGAAGATTAAATACCCTCAAAGCGAACCTTTTGCTTCAATGAGATATTTTCACATATTTTTGTTGAAGTATTTCTGATACTTCGTATTAAAATATTATAAGTATAATTCAGTAATTTTGGTTTGCATATCTTATTACACGATAAAGATTTTCCAGCTAGCACTCATCTTGCAACCAACCGTTTCTATGGTAGCTATATGCTATAGTAGTCTGATCTCTATGATTCCTTATCAAAATATGACACGCATAATAATTAGCACATCAATCAAGTTTGGCTCAGATAATTTGTTAAACAAAAAAGTTGATCAACTTTTGATCGATTGTACCTATGACAGCTATATGATATAGTGATCCGATCCAAACGTCTGCGACAAATAAAAGTCATATATATATATATATATATATATGTATATACATATATGTGTGTATATATTCAATTTTTTCATTAAAACTGAGGAACTTTAGCGATGCGGCTAATAATGCTGATCACGAATATATATAAATCAAGCGCATGACGAAAGTAAATTGTGCTCTGCTAGGATATAATGATAAATGATGTTGCATTACTTTAATACATTATTTTATTCTTATTTTTATTTATATATTTATCTATTTTATTTTTATTTTATTTTTGTTGTTTAAATTTTGCATGTTGTTTTGGCTTAGTTCTTGGTTACAGTTGAGAGCGTTTCTGATTTACGATTAGAGCCAAGCAACAATTGTTGCCGTTGTCATTCGGGCAACAAACGAACTCCATTGTTCACCCTACCCCCTTCACACCCCTCCCCGACCCTTGCTCGTCCCTTGAGTACCCCACGAATAATCGCATTATGAATGCGCAATAAAATTTAGCTCGATTCGATTCGATAAAAAAAAAAAGAAACAACTTGAAGAAATCAGACAGATCCAGTGGAAGCCTTTATAATAGATATAGATTAGACACTTTTCAATTTGTACCACCCCCAGTTCAAAATGCCAATATATCATTTTCAAAATGAAATAATTCAACAGTTTTTATTAGTTAACTTTTGCTCAATTCAAATTAGTTCGCAGTAACAAAATGTAATAGATAAACTTAAATCTACATTCATAGTTAATTTGTATTTATATATATATATTTTTTTTCTTTTAATTTTATATATGTACAGATCGCTTTCGAAGTTTGGAAACATGCCTAAGTATTTTAGTGTATATATATATATATATATATATATATAGCATTTACAACCGATGTGTTTCCAAAAACAAACAAAAGCATTAAGTTTATATTGTGGCTACAGTTTTTTGTTGCTGATTCAACGAGGGCACTTAAAGTATGTAATATACCTATATATATATATAAAGATATATATTTGTGTATATGTATATCGACTCATTAATGCATAAGATAACAACTCTTAATTGACTACAAAAATAAAGGCACCTGAGTTCAAAGTGTTTTTGCCAAAAATGTAAATGTAATGTAAAACAAATAAAAAAGTTAAATTCAAGATATATATAAGATATATATACATATATATATACGAATTATACAGTTTGTGTATATATATGTGTGGAAAAAGGGAGATATATATATAAAAAAGTAAGGTATTATTTAATTGGTATGTTGATATTTATTGCTGTTTCTCTTAGCAAGTAACTCTCGTGGGTTGACTGACTGATTGAAGACTGACGACTGATTGACTGCTGATTGACTAAGCTCAACTATACATATATATATATATATATGTATATATAGTGTTAATAGTGTATGTATATGTATGTACATAGTATTTGTATAAAGTACTTAAATGGTCTTTGTCCCTGAATGAAATGCGCTTGGCTTAATATAGCCACCCCCGATCCCCCCATGTTCCACCTAACTACACTTAGAATTGTTGGCTCTTCTTCTTGCTCCTCTCCTTCTTCTTCTTCCTCTTCTTCTTCTTCCTCTTCTATTTCTTCCTCTTCTTTATTTCTTTTGCTTTCTTCTTGATTATTTTTGTTTTGTTGCTGACTAGTGCGTTCTCTCGATCCCTGCTCTCTTTGTTGTTGTTAACTACTTGGCCGCTTTACTTTCGATAGCGATTAGCGATAACTTAATCGATAACTCAACGATATATGCTAATGCATTTTGTAGAGCTGCGGTGGCTCCGTCGTCGCTGGCATACCCTGATCATACTTCCCCAACTCCGCCTCATACAGCAGATTATTGATCAGATGCTTGACGACAATTCTCGATTTTGGTGTCTTCAGTTTGCGTATGGTTATCGCCACATACTCACCAAACACCTCATACTCATCCACATGGCTGGCACTCATATTGTTGCTGTTACTGCTACAATTGTTATTGTTATTGTTGTTGTTGTTGCTGTTGCTGTTGTTGCTGTTCTTGTTGCTGCTGAGTTTTATGGGCGTTGTGGCAGCAATGCTGCAGATGCCGCTGCTTGTTGCTGTTGTTGTTGCTGTTGTTGCTGCTGCTGCTGCTGACAGCTCCAAGGATTTGGACGAGTGATTGTTGTTGTTAATGTTTATATTATTATTATTATTATTAATATTATTATTATTATTATTATTCATATAGGCCAATGTTGGCGAGGAGGAGAGATCACGATCACGATCACGTTTTTGTGCCATGTTATTGGAATGTTGTTGTTGCTGTTGTTGGTGTTGCTGCTGCTGCTGTTGTTGTTGTTGCTGTGGCTGCCCATTGCCGTTGTGGTTTATGTGGCTGAGATTGTGGTTAAAGTGTTGCTGAAGCGTATGAAATGCGATCTGATTGTGGTTCAAGTGTTGTTGCTGATGATGATGCTGCTGTTGCTGCTGCTGCTGCTGCTGATGGTTTGTTGATTTGATCGGCGTCAAAGTCAAAGCACCGACCACGCCCCCAACGATGCCAACGCCCACGCCACCACAGAGATCGCCGCCATTGCCATCGTTGCCATCATTCGCATCGATCTCATCCAGTTGCGCCTTGCGCTTCCGCCGATTGTATGTCAGATCTGTGGGCTTGTAATAGCTCAGCGAGAGCGGCGTACTCGTCTGCCTATCCAGCATACCAAGCTCAGCTTCGTGCTCGATCTGCGACCAGCCAGAGATAGTAAGGGAGAGAGAGAGAGAGAGAGGGAGAAAGAGAACGTGTAGTGGTTAAATATTAATTAGTATGCAGCTCGGATTTTTTTCAAAAGCACACTAAGAAAAAAATCGAACTTTTTTTAAATTAGTGTTTGCATTTCTACTTTGTACAATTTCTATATAATTTCGATATATTTTACAATAATTTAAATTAATTTTTAATAAAATTTAATGTTTGCATTTCTAAATTTAACGGTGGATTTTTATATAATTTCGAAAAAATATATATAATTTCCAGGGTGTATAAGTATTGAAGAAACGTTCTTGTACTAGATTTTTGGTTACTTAAATTAATTATCAAAAATGAGTGTTAATATTTTTAGACTTCTAATGTGTGGAAATTATTTATTTGCTTAGAAACAAATTCTATTTTTTAGGTTTCTGAGTGCAGAAACACTTAATGAAGTCGGCTATTGATACGGATCAAGGTCAATCTCACTTCTTTATTTTAGGGCGATTATTTTTGCTGACTGCATAGTATACCTAAAAACTCTTTTACAGCGTATATTTGGGTATTTAATTAGAATGCAATTAATAATTGTGCTCTGCTCGTTTCTAGTCGTGTGGACTCGTCTGTACTTACAATTTCGGTTTTCACATCTTCGGCGCTGATATTGCAATAAGTCTCGCCATCCAAATCGGAAGAGGAACGTGTCTGCGAAAGCAAAAGACCAAAAACAAATCGTTAAAAAGTAGCAAACAAAATAAACAAAAAAAAATTATAAATAAATGAGAAAAAAAGCGAATAACTACAACAATTATGGCATTGTGAAGAATTTGTCAGACAAATAATAACAACAACAAATAACAATAATAATAATTGGTAAAGACGAAGCAACAACAAAAATAAGGAAGAATGCGAAAAAAGGCAAATTAGAATAGTAATAAAAAATAAATACATAAATGTGAGCAACAGACTAAGACTAACACATACATACATACACACACACACACACATACACTTTGCATACAGCTGGCGACACGGGAGAGCCAGCGGCGATTAAATTAGTTAGCGAAGGTGAGCATAGAAAAGGGGGATGGGTGGGGTACGCGACGCGGCGAATTGAAAATTGAAGTGGACCAAACAGCGAGAGACAGACAAAACAGACGAGCGAATGAAACAAAAACAAAAAGAAAAAAAGACAAGCAACTTAAAGCTGCTGTTGCTGCTGGATTGAACGAATAGGGCGGAGGGAGGGGGGGATGTGGGGCGCTGCCGATTTCTATATGGCTGATGCAACACACATATGGCAAATCAAAGCCAGTTGACACACACAAGCTTATCAAGCGCATGCGACGCAATAGCAGCGCAGCCAGCACAGTGTCAACAAATACTTGGTAACTGCATAGCAAACCTTTATCAATATTACGGCAATTACAGCCGCTTAATTGTGGCCAGCTGATTGTCAAGTGTTTGCAGTGCTGCCAGCTTGATATTTTTTTTATGTGTGTGCATTTGTAATGCAGCTTAAGTTGTGGGAGCTTTTTGGGGTGGCAAACACTTGTGCATTTAGTTTTATGGTAAATAGCTATGAAGTAAAGTATATAAATTATATAACAAAGAATTATAATTAGTTTGTGCCACTGTGCGAACCAAGCGCTAGACACAGCAGAGCCAGCAGCGTCGGCGCGTGTGCTGCTTTTGCTGCTGCTGCCGCAAAACAAGTCAAACCACTCACGCACACACACACATGCATATACATTTACACTCATTCTCACTCACATGAAAAAAATAAGCAAAAGCTCCAGCGGAACGAAAACAAGAAACAAACAAGAACCGCTGCTAATCGGCATAGGCGACAGCTGAATACCCTAACTAACACAAGCCATATGCAAATTATTATTAATTGTAAGTTTTTTATAAAAAATCAATTTCAAATTATTGAACTATGCTATATATATTAATATTTTATATTATTTTAAATTTGTATTTATATTTATATATTTTATGTTATTTATTTAGTATATTTTAATAAAAAGATCACGAATAATAATTAAAATAATTTGAATAAAAGTAAATGCGACAAAATGAATGCAAAAAGCTCATACAATTGAAAAATGACATTGTACAAAGCAGAGCACACAGCGAATAAGCTCACCGTTTTTTTATGTTAGTGTGTGTGTGTGTTTGTAAGAAATGAGAAATAATATGCACAACGTAAAGTAAAAATCAATAAATAGAAATATAGGCAATAGGCAATAGGCAAAAAAGGAGGCTTACCACAGCTGCTGAGGCGGCGGCTGCTGCAGCGACGGCTGCTGCAGCTGCTGTTGATGTTGCCGTTGCGTCGCTGCCGCTGTCAGCGTCACAATCACCATCGCCGCCCGCACAACCATTGGAATTAGGATCCGGCGAATTGACGACGTCCGAATCGCCTGCATCCATATTATGCTGATGTTCTCTCACATTCGCCGCTGCTGCAGCGGCGGCGACAACAGCAACAGCAGCAGCGACGCGAGCAGCAAACTCTTCGTGCTGTTGCTGTTGCTGCTCAACTTTTTGGACTCCAACAGCTGTCAGCTGTTCCAAATCTAGGCTATGCATCAGCGCAAGTTTTTCCGCTGCTTCCGAGTCCAACAGCGGCTTAACATCAACGCTGACGCCGACGCCAGCAGCCGCAGCAGTCACATCTAAAGCAGCGCTGTCAACGTCACGTTCGCCGTCGAGTATAAACCGTATGGCTTCGTAGGCAAACCACATGGGCTGATAATGAACGCCGCGGCTGCGTCCGTTGAGCACCTTGCCATGTTCCCGATGGAATGACGAACGCAACGATTTTATTTTCGATCGTATCGAGCGGATTTCGGTGCCATATTTCTGACTCAACAGATTTAGTGCCTCGTATTTGGTCTGCTTGATGTGGTAGCCTTTTGTGTTCGGGTCCCAGAGGACTCGATGCCGGCGATAATCCTCGATAAAGCCCAAAATTGTTGCACGCGACCATTCGATGCGATCGGCTGTTGGCGCTGACGGTGACGGCGGCATTGGCAGCGGCAGCGGCAGCGCTGCGACGTCCGCAATTGATGCGTTCGGTTCATGCTTGAACTGAGCGGCGGACATCGCTGGTGAAAGTTAACGGTGCTTTAAGGAGAGGCGTTGGAGCTTTTGCTGGTGCTGATGGTGCAGTGGTGGGTGGTGAAGTTGTTGTTGTTGTGTTTTGGGTTTGATGCGCGCGCGCGCAGGCGGCTACGAGAGAGAGAGACACAGAGAGAGTGAGATAAAGAGAACGAGCTTGCGAGAGAGCTTGAGAGCGAGCGCGTGAAGAAAGAAAGAGAGATAGAAGAGGAGGAGGAGGAAGGAGTATTGGTGGTGGTAGCAAAAGAAGGTAAAACGCAACGCAACGCAAAAAACGCAACGCGACGTTAAAAAAAAAAGCGTCCACAACACGTTGCTTTTGACTTTCGACTGAGGCGGCGGCGGCCGCGGCTAGCGGTTGTGTGGCAGAGGAAGCGTAGCAGCAGCAGCAATAACAGCAGCAGCAGCGGCAGCGGCAAGTGTGGCGGCGGCCAAACGGCAGCTCAGCTGCACTTTGTGCGAAGAGAGCGCCGCGCGTGTGAGCGTTGCACAGTGGTACACATCACACAACACAAGTGCAGTTCAATTAAAATATGTTAACAGTGCTAACTAACATTGATTTACTGTTCTTAAATGAATTAATTATGCATAAATATAAATATAAAATTAGATGAAAACTCAACTGCAGCACAATACAGAATAGAATATATATGGAATCTAATATTTACTGTTTTCAAATGAATTTACTTTTCAACATTAAAGTCATCATTTTTAATAAATGCGAAATAAAAATTGCTTTCTTGGTAATAAGCAAATATGAAATAAAATGCTAGAACTAGTAACTAATATTGATGAACTGTTTTAAAATTAATTTACTTGCTTAACGGAATTTGGTCAAGTCATAAATTCAACTTTAACAAGTATACTAAATTATGAAATATGAAATGAAAATGAAATTTACTTGCTACCATTTGTCTATATATGATATTAAACTACTTATATACATATATTGCCGAATTAAGTAGATGATTTACCAATACATTCATATATATGTGTTGCTGAATAAAGTAGGCTTTGATTGATAGTTAACTATACTCAATAATATATTGTTTACCACGTGCGATCAGTTTTTGATCAAACTTTTGACCACTGTGCGACGTCGCTTCGTCCAAAATCAACGCAAAGGTGTGCGACTCTGTGTTTGCTGTTTTGCATTGGTGTGCGTGTGTGTGTGCATGTGTGTGTGTGCATGTGCGCTAGCTGTCTGGTTGTTTCTCTCTATATGTGTGTGTGTGTTGTGTGCTGGTTGCAGCGGCACGCGGGGCGCTTTTTTCGCTCACTCAACGACTCAACAATGTGGCTGTTGTTGTTGCTGCTGCTGCTGTTGTTGTTGTTGTTGTTGCTCTGCTTGGAGACCTGTTGTTGGTTGCTCGCTTGATAATGCGACGCTTTGTTGTTGTTGCTGCTGCTGCTTGCTGAATGTTTTGGCTTTTCTATTTGTTGCTGCTATCAGCTGTTTTTATTATTATTGCCGCAATACATACGTGCGACGATGTTGCTGTTGCTGTTGCCGCTGCTGCTGCTGCTGGCTAGTGTTGTTGCTGCTGCCACTCGACTCTCGATCCCCCGACACGGTCGTTTGTTGTTGTTGTTGTTTTTCGCCGCTTCGTCGTTCGTCGTTCGTCGTTCGCTGTTGAAATCACGATTTGTACTAATTTCACATATTTAAACTGTGTGTGGCATGCGCGCTGCTCCAAACGGGCCAGTTGCTGTTGTTGTTGCTACTGCTGTTGTTGTTGTTGTTGTTGCTGCGGCTGCTGCTGTTGGCCGTAAGTTCGTCACTTGGTTTTTTGTGCTCGCCCAACACGCCCCCGCCCCCCTCCCCCAGCCTTAAACACCTTCCAACCTTGCTGCTGTTGTTGTTTAACTTTAGCATCGAGCATTACAGTTATTTTAGAAGCTTTGCAAAAAGCTTGACAATTCCCAGCAAAACTCTCACAAACTTTACTTAACATTAGCGAGAAAGAGAGAGTGAGTGAGCTTCGTTAAGTTTTTGAAAAGTTAACTACAGTTTTTTTTTCTAGTACTTTACAGTTAGTTGCAGTTTTTAGTAAGGGTATTCAAATAGCGGCACTTTATGGGCACAGTTTTTGCGTTTCTCGTTTTCAGTTCGTGTGTTGTGGCGATCGTTGCTGCCTGTTGCTGCTGCTGCTGTCGCTACCGTCAACGGCAACACGTTGCACAGTGGGCCTCTGCCTGCCTGCTTCTGCGCATGTGATGAACGTTGCCAACAAAACACAGAAAAAATGAAAAAAAAACCAAAAAAAAATTAGCTGGCTATTCGTGTAGCAAAGTGGCGGCCATGACGCTGGATAGATAGCCGAGTGGCGAGTAGCAATTGTGAGCTAGTTCACAATTTTGGGCTACAATGTATGCAGGCGTGTATGTGTGTGTTTTGTACAGTGTGAAAATATTAAATGTAATATTTATGCACAACAGACAATCAGCAACATAAAATAAAAATTAAATGATAAGATTTATTGAAATAATATAAAAACATTAAATTTAACAACATTTATATTTATGTAACAATAAATTTTTAAACGTTATTTAAATATGGTTTGTATTTGTATATAAAATGATACTTTTCATGTCTTTTTACAATCAGTATTCAACAAAAAGTTAAACAACAATTAAATCATAAACTTCATTAAAATAATGTTAAATGTTATATTTTTGTATAACACATATTAAGCCCAAAAATTAAATAACAATTCAATTATAAACTTTATTCAAAATAAGTTATATTCATTAGTTATTAATTTAATTGTCACATTAATTAGCAAGAAGTTCAGCGCTTCAGTACCACTGTGCAGTGACAGCTACAGCTGTAAATTTTGTTGCCGTCGTTGAGAAGTTGTTATCGAAGCGAACATAACAAAAACAAAATTCGCAAAATCAAAAAGAAAAAAACAAAATTAGCTTCACAACGCGGTAACAAATTTGCCAGTCAGCAGAAATGTACAAAAAGAATCACAAAAAAAGAAAAAAGGAATTGCATTTCACGGCAAATTTGGTTGTTTTTGTTAATCAAGGGGCTGCGCTCTGCTCGCTGCTCGCAGCTCCAAGTTGTTAGGCTAGTAGATTGCCTGGAAGGGAGAGGGATAGGCAAGCGGTAAACTGAGCAAAACGACAACGCGACGTTGACGTCGCGCCGCGCCGCGTCGTCGTCGTCGCGGTCGCTCACGTAGGCAGCTTTGCTTTTTGCATTTTGAGTTGACAACTTTGTCTGGCTGTGATCGACATTGAGTCGCTCTCTCTACCTCTCCCACTCTCCCTATCTTGCAATATCTCCCTCTCTCTCTTGCGCTGTTTGCCTCTTTGTCTTCTGCTTTGAAAGTCCTCAACACGTGCAGTTTTCAATTTCGCCGAATTTTGTCCCAGACACACATACACATGCATATGCTGAGTTAGAGCTTTGTGCATTTCGCCTTGCATATCGCCTGCTCTCTCACTCTGCCCCCTCCCTTTGCAAACACACACACAAACACACACGCAACATTTTAACATTGCGGAAGCTTTCGTGACTACGTCTGCTTCTTGCTTTAACTGCTCATTATCAAGCGCCGTTGTCGCTGTCGTCGACTGCGGCAGCGACATGTTTGCCGCACCTACGATAACGGCATTAACTTGACTTGACTTTCAGATCACCGATTCCCCCTTCCCCTTTCAACTGAGTGAAAGCAACGAAAATGCAGTGCAAAATTTCAAATCTGAAATTGGCTTTGACTGCGTCAGACGCTACCGCTGCCACTGCCACTGCAACTGCCTTTGGCTGACATTGTTGCAAAGCTTTTGCATGCAATTTTCGTTTCAAGTTGACAAATTGACGTTCAAAATTGTTTGAGCAGATTTTTCGTTACAGTTTCAGTTACCGCTTTCCCCTCTCTTCCACTTATTCAAGACACACATATTTACATACATATCAAGTTGCTTTTGTCTGTTCTGGTTGCTCATTATATTTATGATCTTTTCACTGTCTTCACTTACGTCCTTTCGCTACCTTAAAATAGAGGCATTTGTGTATATTGCATGTGTATTGCTTATACATGTGCATGTATGTGAATGCCCGTGTGTAGCAATTTTGGAATTACAATCAATTACACTGAGCTAGAAATTGTAATGGACAAGCAGAATTGCGTTCCTGTGTTTTAATACATACAATAGCTACATTATTTTATAAATTATTTTAAATTTTGAATAAATTATTATACTTTTTGCTCAGCAGTTTTGCATATACAAATATATGTAGATATATAGTTACATAAAAATATATATGTATATGCTATACTGTGGTCCAAAAAATGTATAATGATTTAATGATTTTTTTATAAAGTTTTTGTTCTTAAAATCCTAGCTGCTGCATTAACTCGATCACTTAAGCTGTTTGTTTATTCTTCAATTCCATTACTTAAGCGCCATTTGGGAAATCAGATACAAAACACTTTATATTGCTTGCTAATACATATAAATGCCCAGCGTTGAATGCATAATGCTGTCACTCACTGTGCATAATAGAATGCTGCTGCTGTTTCCCGTTGCAGTTGTTGTTGTTTGCTTTTGCTGTTATTGCTGGGTTGTCATTGCCAACTAAATTGCATTGAGCTGTCACATTAGAGAGAAGCAACTCGATATGCTAGTTCCCCATTCTACACTTCCCACCCATCTCTCTCTAGAATTTTCTTACTTTTCTCTCTCTTTCCTTGCGGGCCACTTTATAACCGAGCTGAACAGTTTTTATCAATCAACTTTGGAGGTGTTGTTGACGTCGCCGTCGCCGCTATTGTCGTGCTTCGTCCTCTTCTTCTTGCTGTTGTTGCTTGCACTTTAGTAGAAATTGCTGTTGACGTCGAGACTGTATGGAATACATATTTTTTTTTTTACATTTTATTTTTATTCAATTTCAACGACGTTGCCGTCGACGTCAATATAATCATCATCATGGCTTCTGTGCTTGTTGCTGTTGTTGTTGTTGCTGTTGATTTCAATTATGCTGGTCTATCGTTTATCGTTTATCGGCGAATGCGATTGTTTGGCCTGTCGGATAAGCCACGAGCAGCTGTCGCCTCGTTTAAAGTGCACTTCCTTATGCCTTCTCTCCCATTCTCTATCATTCT